TCCCTTAGTGCATCACATCCATCCATTTATCAAGTGGGTGCAATATTTACATAAAACTGATATGCTGACAAAGTTAATAAAGATCACTTGAAGTACCAGGAATTTCCTCACAAATTACCAAGTCTAGTTTGAAGTTGACAAAGGCTCTTACAAGAACATCCACAGAAAGGTACCATTGGTAAAGGCTGAATTTTCACAGCATCTCTATGGGGCAATACTCCAGCTATTCTAAAACTAAAGTATCTTCTAATGCCTTAACATCAGCTTTAACTAATTTTTGTGCTAGCCTTAGACTTTAAGCCACAGCATACCTGTTACTTGCAGGTGCTACTTACTTGGAGAATCGCCTTGTTGGACTGGGAATAGGACTTGGAGGTAATCCATTACTGCTCACAAACATTTGCAATGATGGGGAAAAACATTGCTGTGAAAAAAGTCATATGAAGATGCTTCAGAATTTCCTTTTAAATACCCAGGTGTTTCCTCCACCCTCAAAACAAAACTTTCCCAATTAAAGGAAACCTAGTAACAGGATAAGGCAGAGATGATCAAACGCAATCTTAGAAGCATTAAAACTTAACTTGCAAAAATATACTGGCTAATGCAATACTGCTTGGATTAACCTAAAATTCAAGCTAGTAAGCACCTGATTCTTAGAAACAAATAAAGTGTGGGTTTGGGTTGGGGGGTGGAGGGGGGTATTGCTTGTTTATGGGGTTTTTTTTGTTGTTTTGGGGGATTTTTTAAGTTTGTTTGTTTAACTACCAAACAATTTGTTAAGTTACATGTCTTCACAGTTCACCTTGGTCTAAAATCCTAAAATGCCCTCTCAGTTTGGTATTTCACTTATCCTACCTTTCCTATTCCTCTTGTAGGTGAGGGTGCAGGCGAAACTGGAATGAAGTCTATTCTCTTTGGGGAGGAAGATTTCTCAGACTTGTCCAAGTCATTGTCGCTCTGTAAATACAAGGTTTCAAACTGAACACTGGTACAGGACGTTCCCTTAGAATCCAAGGCACAACCTTCTCATGGGAAGCCATTGGGCCAAATGCACAAAACAGCTAAAGCAGATGAACTTAAGTTCTTCGTAAATTATTTTCATTCTTTCCCTTAAATTTATCAGTTGAGTGCAAAAGTAGAATTAAATAGGAAACATCTATAAAGAGATTACCAGGCTCAAGCTTTCCTCCCATGACTGGCTTATCTGCATTGCTGTTTGCACTTCCCTAGAATACAAAAAATCCCATCAGCAGCTACAAAGAGGATAACTCTGGCTATTTTATCATCTTGTTTCAATAACACTCACCTTTCATGTGCTGTTTCTCTGTTCATTAAATCCACTCCTTCCTCCTGCAGGAGATAAATGTCATAAGTTTTCCCATAACATTTAATTCATCACAGGTACTCGGATTCAATAATTTGCCATTAGAATTGAAATATGAACAGTAGGAGCACTCCAGAAAGAAGAGGCTGCTACCTGCCCAGCTCATTGTTTCTCTTGAATGAAACAACACTTCAAAAACGCAAGGTACTTTAAACACAAGAATAAGCCTTGCAAGGATGCTTCTTTGTTGAAATTAAGTCTTAAAAAAGACTATTTCCTCTAGTACTTGAAAAACTCAATAGGAAAGAAACTCCCATTACGTAAGTACTTCAATATTGTAAAATACTTTTCATTCTGTTACTAAATATACAGATAAAAACTACACTCACCCTTCTGATCTGATGAAGTCGGCTACTAGGAATACGAATAGGAGATGATGACAACAACTGAAAAAAAAGTGACAGCCACAATGATTAAATCACACATCAAGAGCTCGCATACATCCTATTTACCATCATCTACACTCCTCGTGAATTAAAAATGAGTTGTACTACAAATACATGTGGATGACTCAAATAATGTTGCAAAAAGAAAACACTGACCTTCAAGAGAAAAGACTTGTTTTACCACTTACAAATTCATTCTCTCACTCAGCAAGTGGCAGAGATCTCAGACAGGGCAAGCAGATACTGCTCAGCATCTCAAATGCACAAGCAGCTATGTATGCCAGTTAGACAAGTGAGGCTTTATAAATGATACTGTGAACATTATACAACTCCCTACTGCCTCCAGTAAGATGACAAGCTCCTGTACTAATAACTTACTCAGCCAGCTGGCTATTAGAAAGGAGAAATCTCAGTGTTTCAGCTCAGTCTTGAACAACACTGCCCAAAACTTTACTTCTGCAATTTTCCAATTGCATAGAATTTTACACATCTAATTCCTCCAGAACTCTGGCTACTGTCACACACAAACGGGCCAAAAGCTCCCACTCAGGATGCCCACGTGTTTACTTTAACACCTACTGATTTGAGTTCCAAAATTTTAGATCCTTATTTTTTAAGAAATTCAATAACATAAGATTTTGAGCTAAAACTCCATCCCACTTTTTCTGAACAGAAGACACAGGAAAAACGTATTTCAGGACTTTAAGTTTTATGGATTTTGAGAAAAGCAGTACTTTATTTTCACCGCCCTCAGATGAGAAAGAAAAATTTTAGTGGAAAAGGGCATATAGATCCCTGAGCTGACAAGGAAAGGGTTAAAAAAAAAAATAAGAAAAGCACCATCTTTGCAAAGTTAAATAACTGCAGTCCTGTACGCTACCAGACTTGTATAACAGAGGGCAGAATATCACCCAGCAAATAAATTACTCTTCTTTAAATTATTTCCTGACGTCTAGCGTTCAGAGCGGTCCTGTCAAACAAACGGGTCAACAAAGACTTGTAACTTTCTCTTCCATTTTAACAACAAATGAAAACACTCTT